AGGTTTTCAGATGATTTTGGTTCCACTGGTCCTGGGACCACACTTAGAAGCACTGTGTCTGAAGCAATTGTTGTAATAATCAGCCCTACTCTCACTTGAGTCACCAAAGAAGGCTATTTTAGAATTCTCAGTCAGGATTTTCCTATCAGAGTTGTTCTATCCAGTTCTCTTAGTTATGTCTTTTAAGGTTGAAGTTCTAATATTTGTGTCAGGGTGGAAAGATTAATTAACAATGTATTGTTCTTTTTACATTTCTCTTTGAAAGGTAAATACAGTGATACCCAACTTAGCCAGAAGTGAATTGTTCAGAAGCCTCCACTACTTGGATTAATACAAATATGGAAGTCAAGGCCAGCCTTTGAGTAGAGGAGAAGACTTACCATGAAGTTCAGTCCTTTATCTTACAAAAGTATTTTACAAAAGTTTTTTACAAAAAAATCTTTAGGTTTTTTGTTTTAGGATTGAGTGTAAAGTAAGGCAGCAAGTTGCATAGGTACTCATTACAGTCAGTAATGGGAAGAGAAGAGAAGCCAAAGCTATGTTAATACTGAAGTTTGGAGCCATTTTTGGACAAGGTGAAATACATGAAACAGCTTTCAAACATTGGGCATCGGGCAGCACAGGACACAAGATTCCACAACAAATGCACTAAGAACCCTACAAATTTAACCAAGTTACTGATGGGAGAGAGTTGCAGGTGTCACTTGCAGAGAGGCGGAACCCAGACAAGCTTGGTATTCACCCTGAGTTCAGGAAACAGAGCTGGGAGTCCAGTGAAGTGGACCAGCTTGAGCTTGCAGAGCAGAGTGCTGGACGGAAAAGAGCTGCTCAGAGAGGGTCCTGGAGATGTGCAAGGAAGTCAGCACTGAGCCTGCAGCTAGGTAATGATCATTGAGTGTATGTGAGGAAACTGTCTAAGGCTGGGGGAAAAAACACTGAAAAGAAGCAAAGCAGACAAACCTTGAAGCTCACACAGGCCAGGAACAGTTCATATTCCTACCAGCCCGAGTGGAAAAATTTTTAAATTTATAGGTGTCAGAGTGCTCAGCAGGTACTTCTTGCTAATACTACTATTAGCTCTAGACTTAGGCCTCTCTAGTCTTGTATGACAAATCTTAGACAGTAGGTCTCATAAGAACCCAACCTGTTTCCAACTAACTATCTGTGTCCCAGAATAAAACTCAATAATATTTACTGAAATACAAAAATACCCAATACTCAACCCATCAGGTTCATATTGACTGACATCTAAATTACCCAGGTATGCAAAGAAGGAAGAAAATGTGACCCATAATAAAGAAAAACTCAGACTGACATAGAAATGATACAGATGACTGAATTAGTTGACAAGGACATTTAATCAGCTATGATAATAATTTATTAGCCCCACAATGGTCAGTAGAACTTTGTTTTGATACAGGTGCCAGAGCACTTCAATGGGAATGGATAATCTTTTAAAAAATGGTCCTGGAATAATTTAGGGAGCCATTTGTTAAAAAACAAGAAACTTCCCGACCCTCTACTTATTTCTTGCCAGGTACAAAAATTAATTTGAAGTTAATGATAGATCTAAATGTAAAAATTAAAACTATGAAATTGGAATAAAACAGGAGAAAACCTTGGTGACCTTGAGCTTGTCAAAGAGTTCTTAACACAAAAAGCACTAATTATAAAAGATAAATAATTGAACTTCATTAAAATTGATATTTTTGCTTCCCAAAGTACTGTCAAGAAAATGAAAAAGTAAGCCAATGTGGGAGGAAATATTTCTAAGTCATGTATCTGACAAAGGACTTATATTCAGAATATATCCAATCCAATTAAAATTGGGCAGAAGATTTAAAATTAGTTACCTCAGCAAAGAAGGGAAGCTCTTGAGAAGATGATCAGCATCACCGGTCATAGGGGAAGGCAAATACAATCTGTGATCACATGCCACCACACATGCCCTAGAACCGCTACAGGTGTTGGCGAGATGGAACAACTGGAATTCTGCTCCGGTGATGGGGATGCAAAATGGTACGACTCAGCCTGCCCAGGCCTGTGTGTTTACCCAAGAGAAATAAAAGCAAATGTCTACACACAAACTTGTGCACCAGTGTTCTCAGTCAAAATAAGCAAAGCAGGTGGAAACAACCCAATTGTCCATCAGCAGATGAATGGTTAAACAATGGTCTATTCCTACCATGGAATACTATTCAGCAATAAATAAAGAATGAACTCTTAGCACACTAAACAACATGGGCAAAAAGTGACTGAAAGCAGTAGTTGCCTAAGCATGGGAGGCACAAGGGAGGGGTGGGAGGAAGACGACCGAATCAACAACAGGCACAAGAAAGTGTTGCAAAGATCAGTATGCTCATTTTCCAGCAGTGATTTTATGGGTGTGTGTATATCAAATCTTACCAAATTACTATGTGCCAAGTGAGTAACAGAGAAAGTCTATGTTTTAAATCACTCTGTTTTGATCAGGTCTCTATCTCAGCTTGAAATCCTTGTTTTGTCTGTCTTTCCTCCTGGTTCATGTAAGAAATGCCTTAAACCTATAGGGAATTAGAGGAACATTTCTGATAAATAAAAGGTGGATGAATGACTGATCCACCTTTACATGGGCAGGCTTTGGTGCTTTGGTGTTATCAGCATTTACTAAGTGCATAGGACAGTTTGAATTCCTCTGAATTGAGAAGTTTGAGACTTGTCAGAGCTAAAATAATTCCTTATGTCATAGAATAAGGAAGTCAGACACAAAGGAGGGTCACCTGGGTGACTGCCCACGTATACACTGCTTATTCATCTCCATATTCCCCAGAGCTCACTTGGTACATAGCAAGTCCTGAGGTGTGTCTCATCTGGAACACTCAGGGAGGGAGCAGACAGCAAAGATACTGTAATTCACTCAGAATAAGACAAGAGGGATTTGATTCATTAGAGCTTTCCAAGGTCAGACTGATCTTACCATTAGGCTCTAGGACTATTCAGGCCCCTTGGGAATTTTTCTAACTGGGGAATAAAAAGCCTGGCTCTGCTTATGTCTCCATATTTTTATATATCCCTTCTAGCCTTAGACCACTCTGGTGATTTCCTCTGGGCCTTTTCCTAGAATTTTTGGGCAGTTGGAGAATTGACAGACTATTCCTTATGTGGCCCTGTTGTCTTTTTTTTTTTTCAGTCTCTACATTGGTGTGACAGGTTACCAAGTGTCCTTGAGGCCAGTCTCTGATGTGGCTGAACAAAATGTTTGTTTCTTTACATTCTTAGTCTGTATGCAAGTGTGTGTGTGTGTGTGTGTGTGTGTGTGTGTATGCACATATTTAGATCAGACCCCTTATTAGAGAACATTAGTGTATTACAGTCATGGTGCCTGTTGTACATTGTTTTTAGTCTTGTACTTGCCTTTCATTTTTTGTGTGAGTCTCTTCTCTCACTTCTTCCCTATAGGAGGAAAAGTCCATCATGTAGAAAGGAGATCTTAGCCTTGGAGCCTGCCTGGGCATCTTTCTCTCTAGGTGTAAATAAGCTTGTACAGAATAGGACAGGTGAATGACTGTGGTCTTATCTATCACTGGCAGCCTTTTTCAAGTCACGTCTGTTCTGCAGTTTCCTGGGCTTCCTACCCCTTTGTGGAACTTTAGCATTTGGTGGACAAACAACTCAATGGAGAGGACTGGGTGTGTGGTTGTTTGCTGGGCATCAGGTTCAGATAGCTGAACCACTGTTCCACCTCATTCTCGCCCAGCTCCAGCAAAACCATGTAGTGTGCAGTATTTATTTTATAAAACATTCTCATACACTGGAAGAAAGAGGAAGTTTCAGATCTGCTGTTTTTTGTTATTTACTAACGTTTCTGCCCAAAGGCATGTATTGGGAGGGTTCAAACACACTCTCTGAGTGGTCTTAAGATACATTTTTGGTGCTGCTGCTCTTTCTGTTTCTTCTCCTTTAGGTGTTAGACACCGGACGTCTACCAAAACAACTTGTTATTTATGTTAATTTTTAATATTCATAAGAATATAATTTCTTTGGTATCTGTTTCTCCTGCTAGCCTTTGGCAGCTAGACAGACTTCCAAAAAAATATAAGACAACACTGCTGGCTTGGTTCTTATTTGAGAATCCGTGTCCCTCATTAATTTATTTTAAGAGCATGGGCTTCAGTACTATTTGATATTATATATCCAGTTTCTAGAACTGGGAAATAATTTTTCTCTTCTTTGTACAACTCATCACATGTTAATCACGGTAGTTCCCCTACTCTGTTGACAGGACTTGCCTGAATATCATTCTGCTAATTTCATTTCCATCTGGGAAATGAAGACTCTTCAGATCATTTCTGCTCTTTGTTTCTGAGTCTCAGTGTCTCTTGTTCTCTCTCTGTCTCTGTGTCCCCTCCATTAGTCACAAGCGTAGCCGTACAGCATCCCTTATAGATTGGTACTAAACTTATTTTTGAGACTTAGCCTATCGTTATAGAGTAGCATTTTCTTAATAGAAAGTCATTCATTTTTAAGTTCTCCTTAATAGTAAGTATACATTGGATATTTGTACGAGGAAGAGTATCAACAGTTAATTCCATTAAAACTGATTAGTTTCATTAAATGCTGGATCTTGAATTTTCCTATCTCAGTCTGTAGTCTTGCCTTCTTAGCAGATTAAATTTCCTCTGGCCATTCATAAAATTCTTGAAGTCATCTCTTTTATAAATATAAAATTGTGAAGGATATAGAGGAAAGTAAAACTTGGGATATAACAGAGGAGTTAAAAGGGCCTTCACTACAGTTTTAAGGAAAAAAACTCCACTTCACCTAATAGGAAAATGTTCTTGGAGATAGATGTAATTGTTTTTACCCTAACTGCATCACTACAGGTTTCAGATAATCTCAGTTATAAATTAGGTTGTTTCCCTGTAATTATTCTCTGTTGTTGAAGTAATTTATCTGGTAGGCCAGTGAGTAGAACAAAGCTCTTTCTTTAAGACTGAAATACTTGCTTGTGTTTGTTTCAGGAAAGCCTCACAGCACTGGTAGCTCTGAACGGATTCAGCTCTCAGGAACGTATAATGTCCGCAAAGGCAAAATGCAGTTGCCGGTGAACCGATGGACCAGACGCCAAGTCATCCTGTGTGGGACCTGCCTCATAGTATCATCTGTAAAAGACAGCTTGACGGGAAAGATGCATATCCTGCCACTGATTGGTGGAAAAGTAAGTTTAAACAAATGAAATACTAACACTTTTGCCAGCGTCATTAAGGAGCTTACTTTGAGTCATTTCTGTAATAAAGGGTAGGTGGTTCCCTACTCATCTAAGGTCTTATTCAGTTCCTGTTGTGCTCTGCCAACAGGATTGCAAAGAGTGAATTGCAAAGAGTGGGCACTGTTGGTTGGTGGAATTGTGAAAAAATAATAATGCCCTTGTTTCATGTGAGGCCCTGGCAATCTTTTCATCATTATTAGTACATGTATCTTACCTACAGGACTGAAAATAGAGCAACTGGAATTTCAGTGTTATATTTTAAGCTGTTATAGATGATAAATTAGTCTGAGTTTTGCCATCTTGTGCACATATTTTGTAGAATGGTGTAATAAATGATCCTTAAGTCTGTGACCTTAGGATCACTCAAGCATGCTTATTGAAGGTTGAACTCTCTAGCATGAATTGTAGATCCCCCTTTGCCATACCTCTCTGTGTTTAGTGACTAGTGGGGTTAGCATTTTTAGTTTATCACTAAAGCTGGTCATACTGTTTAATCTGAAATGTTACTTCAGAGAAAACCTGTGATACAGCTGATATTTCTGACATTACTGGCTGCTTTTCTTTGTGTATGTTACTTATTTTATTTCCATCATTTAAAAAATAGAAAGAAACCACATTGGGAAAATGGTACAGTCTTTTCTTTTTTTTTTCCAGATTTAGTAAACTCCAAATATCAGTAGGTTTTACTACCATATTGTATGTTAACTATTTCCTGATTTTTAAATGGTGTGATAATTTTTTAATAAGAAGGCAAATTTGGATGAAGAAATGAGTTTCAAGAAATTAAAGGCATATTAAGCACTTTGTTTACCATTTCCCCCCCTGAATAGGCATGGGAAAGAAGGCAGGATGTGGAGAATATAAAGAGAGGAAAAATATGAAACCAACTTTTGTTCAAGTGAGCTTTTTAAAATTGGTAAATGTTTGCTCTTCTGGTTCCAGGGATTAGAAATGAAGAAGGTTAAGACCAGATGTGTACAGTAATAAATGGTTTTGTTATTCATCTGCTGTGTATTAAGTTCATTCTTCCTAAGTTTAAACTAGTCCTTCCTTTTGAGTAAATACCCATGTCAGTTTTTTAACCCCTCTACTATATTATGCATTGTAGTCCTAAGAAGACTAATAGTTGATCATTTTAGAAAAACTATATTTTGGCCAAGCTGCAGGGTATATTTAGATCTATTTCAGTCACCCACTTTGAAACCTTTGCTTCTTAACTTTTGTCTGAACATTGAAGAATTAGTGATATCATATTACTGACAATTTTGTACTTTGGATGGATTGCTGAAAAACTAGTCATCATTATTAGTCCCCTAGGTCATCATTAAAAATGCATATTTAATATTTGATACCCTGTTAGTTCAACAGTTACTTTCTTCTCTATGATGTTAGGCATTTGCATAGGCAAATTTAAAATTACTATTTATTAAATATCCTCTGTGGGGAATCCACTTTGCTAGGCATCCTGGAAACACCAAGGTGGGTAAATCACCAGTCCTAACTTTGAATAGCTTATCATTTACTCTCTGGAGGTGACGAAAGGGCACAATATCTGCTTCAAGAGAGGTGCAAAAAGCAGTGTAGGAAATTAGTGGAAGGAGAGATTACTTGTGGGGGGAATTGGAATTTTGTAATGAAGGAGGAAGCAATTATGGTAGAACTTTAAGGTGAAAAATTTCTTAACATATAAAGGAGATGGTCAGAAAGATTATTGTGTTGAGAGAAGGAGAGGCAGGAAGGAAGTGGAATGTTCAGATAAGGTCAGAAGATCCAGTTATAATGAGCATTTTCATTCAGCGCCAGAGACTTGTCCTATTTCCCAGGCCTGTTATTGGATGGACTTCTACCATTGAGTGAATTGAAAGGTAATAGCTTCCTCTTCTCACAGCAAACCTTGTAAAACCTGTTTTGTACTACACCTTTACAAATAATTCAGCATGTTGAAAAATTGTGGCTATGAAAACCTGTTGACCAAGTTAGGAAAAAAATGATTCATTTTTTACAGTCTGAGTTGTCATTAATGTTTATCTATTACATTTTTTCATTCTGTTCTGTTCTTAAAGGGAAAACTGAGTAAATGGAAGATTTTTTTGTTTTTTTAATATAGAGAGAGATAGAAATGAGGTGTGTGATAGATTGGTTAAAACCTAGCCAGAATTGCTGTGGTAATCAAATTTGACACACTACTTAAACATCATCATTAGTATACATTTTCAAATGTAGAATTCCAAATATGAAGTTAAATAAGGCTCTCTTAAAATTTAATTGTTGAGAGAAGGAGGGGAAGAAAAAAGGGGGCCTTATGATTAGCATGTATAATGTGTGTAGGGGGCACGGGGAGGGCTGTGCAACACAGAAGACAAGTAGTGGTTTTACAGCATCTTACTACGCTAATGGACAGTGACTAATGGGGTATGTGGGGGGGACTTGGTGAAGGGGGGAGTCTAGTAAACATAATGTTCCTCATGTAATTGTAGATTAATGATACCAAAAAATAAAATAAAATTTAATTGTTGAAAAAATAATTGTTTAATAGAGAAATTTTTATTCATTGTGCAGTTATATTTAATTTGTCCTTTAGAATTTAACATAGATTTTTAGAATAATACTTCACTTTTATTTTATATTGAAGGAGGGGAAGAAAAAAGGGGGCCTTATGATTAGCATGTATAATGTGTGTAGGGGGCACGGGGAGGGCTGTGCAACACAGAAGACAAGTAGTGGTTTTACAGCATCTTACTACGCTAATGGACAGTGACTAATGGGGTATGTGGGGGGGACTTGGTGAAGGGGGGAGTCTAGTAAACATAATGTTCCTCATGTAATTGTAGATTAATGATACCAAAAAATAAAATAAAATTTAATTGTTGAAAAAATAATTGTTTAATAGAGAAATTTTTATTCATTGTGCAGTTATATTTAATTTGTCCTTTAGAATTTAACATAGATTTTTAGAATAATACTTCACTTTTATTTTATATTTGTTAAGTAGTTGTATATAATAAAGTAAATAACTGTTAACCTGCTACTCAACTTAGGAACATAGTAGTAGCAATACTAGTGTTTCTATCCATGTCCTCTTTACCTCTGTCTCTTTGTGTCCCCCAACTCCAGAGGTAGCCACTGTCCTAGAATATGTATTCATCATTTTTTCTTACTTTTTTGAAATGTTTTATCATTTAACTATGTTTTGCTTGATTTTGACCTCGGTAAAAATGGTATCATACTGTGTGTGGTATGTGATTTGAGTTTTTTCACTCAACACTATGTCTCATAATAAGAGTCTATGCTGCTTGCTATATGTGGTTTTTATTTCTGCATAATATTCTACTTTGTAAATGTTCTCAGTTCCCATAATTTCTTAAGTAATTTTCCTGTTGATGGACACTTGGGTTGCTTCTTTTTTGTTATTATAAATAATGCTGGTGAAATAGTCTTATGTTCATATGCCTCCTGGAATGCAAGTAGTTCTCAAATAGGGCTACTGTGCCCAAAGGGGACATTTGATAATATGTGCAAGCATTCTGATGGTCATTAGTTGAACATTCAGCATATCATTTAATGTAAGGTACCTTGTGTTGTGGTAACAAAATTCCCCAGATCTTAGTGACTTACCATAGCAGTTATTTCTCACTCTCACTAAATGTCCACTGTGGGTTGGTAGAGATCTCTTTCTTCACATAATTGTACAGGGATGCAGCCTGATCAGTCTCTGATGCCTCATAACACTTGGAAACTTCAGCCTGCCTTTGTTGTTGGAGGGTCATCAACTGGCTTTTGTATATTTGGATGCAGAAGTGACATGTGCCATTTATGCCCATGGCTCATTGGCCAGAACTAGTCACATGACTTCATCTTAGTGCAGGGGGCCTGGGAAAAGTGGAGTAGTAGAAAACATGTTTGGTTACTACTAGTATCTTTGCTGCAGGGGACAGTTAGCACCTACAGGGAAGGAGCTCAGAGAGTAAAACATCATATAGAGCACCAGACAGTCCTGCACAATGTGTAACGAAGGACAGTTCAATCCAAAATTCCTATCACAACCTCCTTGAGAAACATCACAATGGATATATACTTAGGAGTGCATTTACTGGGCTATAAAGCACATGCATATTTACTTTTACAAAATGGTATCAAATTGTTTTCCAAGGTTGTTGCACCATTTTATACTCACATCAGTGTACAAGTGTTCCTGTTTCTTTACATCTTCACCAAACTTTATTGATGTGTAATTGACATATAATAAACTGCACATTTTGGTAGGAGTTTGATAACTGTAACTCCCATGAGTACGGTTTGGTAGCGGTATAACCCAGTAAGCCATCACCACAATCAAGAATAGTGGTCATATCACCCCAAAAGTTTCCTTGTGTTCCTTTGAACCCCTTCCCTCCCACTCTTTTCCTCTCACCTTGGCCCATCCCCATCCCCAAGAAGCCACTGGCCTATTTCTGTCAATACAGATTAGTTTAAATGGCATTTTAAAAAAATTAATTTTCTCTTCAGTGCCTAGAAATGCAGTTGACTTTTGAGTATTGATCTTATACCCAGCCACCTTACTAAATTTTATTTATTCTAATATAGGAGTCCAGTCTATGTAGTTAATCATGTCATACTGAAATAATGACAGTTTTCTTTCTTCCTTATTAGTTGTTTTTGTCTTACTGTGATGGCCAGACTCTAGTACAACATTGAATAGAAACAGTAGATACTTGTCTTATCAGTAATCTTAGGAGAGAGTGGGATCTCTTCATTAACATTGAAATTTGCCTTGGATGTTTGATAATACTCTTTGTCAGCTTAAGTAAGTTGCTTTTGTATTCTTAGTTTGCCAAGAGTTTTTATCATTAATGATGAATGTGTAGTGAGTGTTACCAAATGCTCTTCCTGCAACCATAGGGATGATCATATTAATCTATTAACGTGTTCCTTTAATCTGTTATGTGTTTCATGATTTTATAATTCAAATGTTAAACCATCTTTTCTTTCTTGGAGTAAATCAGACTTCATGATTTTTTTTTTATATTGCTGAATTCTGATTCAATATTTTGTTTAAGATAAGTGTTCATGACTGAGATTAGCCTGTAATTTTCCTTTCTCTTACTGCTGTCATCTGTTTTGGGTTATTCGGGCCTTATAGATTGGGGTGTTTCTCTTCATTTTTTTGTTTTGTTGATGAGTTTGCATAAGTTTGAATAACCTGTTTCTTGGAAGTTTGGTAAAACTTATCTGTAAAATCATATGGGTCTGATATTTTCTTGAGGAGAAAAACTTTTTAATATTCATTGAATTTCTTTAATGGTTATAGGACTATTTAGGTCTTATGTTTTTATCTTGATTTAGTTTTGGTAAAATATATTTTATAAAAATTTGCCACAAAATTGTTTATAATATTCACCTTTTAATCTGGTCCGTAATCATGTCTCCCTTTTCATTGTTAATTTATTTAAACTTTTCTTCAGTTGGTATCATTGATCTGTTATCAGTTGATATTCAATTTTCTAGCCTTTTCAAAGGACCAAGGTTTTGGCTTTGTTAATGTTAGTGTTCTCTGTTGTATATTTGGTTTACATTTCATTAATTTCTGCTTTTTATTACCACCTTCATTCTACTTTGAGTTCATTCAGTTTTTGGTTTTGGTATTTTTTCCACCCTAGGTTCTTAAGATACATGCCAGTCAAATTAATTTTCTGCCTTCTTTTCTAATATGAGTATTTAAAATTATAAATTTTCCTCTGTGCACCACTTTTGTTGTATTCCATAAATTTTGATATGTAGTATTTTTTAGTGGTTTAGTTCTAAGAATTTCTAAATTTTTGTTATTTCTTCGTTTACTCACTACTTGTTTAGAAATATGTTATTTTCTTCTAAGTATTCTTGGATTTTAAATATACTTTTTTATTATTGACTTCTAATTCAATGAAGTCCAAGAAAATTATCTGTGTGATAGTGATCTTTTTGAAATTTTTTACACTTTTTTTTGTGACTTGGTTTGTGATAATTTTTGTAAATGAAACAGGAGCTTGTGTAGTATCATGTTACTTTATTGTTTGGACTTTTCCTCCTTATGAAGAATTTACTGGCAGTATAAATTTGATTTGACTATATCACTGCATTATTAAGACTTGGAAGTTTTCGTGGTAGGGTTATTTCAAGTTAATCTCAATTTCACATTAAATATTTAAAACTTAACATGCTTGAAGACCTCTTTTAAAAAAGGTGGTAATCCAGGGTAATACAAAAGTCCCTTAAGAAAAAATCCACTTGGAGTAAAAATCCTTAAATAATATCTTAAGTAAAAATCCCTCCAAAGAAAGTAGAACCCCAGCATCCTTATTGTGAGGATATGGAAAGATAAGAGAGGGAGTCTGATCCAATTTTGAATAGGAAGGAGAGAATTTCACTATTGTAGGGAAATCTAATGAAGATAAAACCCCCTTTTTTGATTTCCTTGTAATTCTTGGTTGGTCAGATGCAGGAACTTAACATGTTTTAAGTAGTAAGAGGAACATATATAGAGAGGAAAGATGCAAATCTGTGCAGGCTCACTAATCTAAGGTGTAGTTAATGAACTATGTAAATGGTTCTGCTTTCCTGACTTGCTTTTGTCTCCGTTTGTTTGTTTTTATAGGTAGAAGAAGTGAAAAAGCACCAGCACTGTTTAGCATTTAGCTCCTCAGGACCCCAAAGCCAGACTTACTACATTTGTTTTGATACATTCACAGAATATTTAAGGTGGCTTCGACAAGTCTCCAAGGTAAGCACTTACCCAAGAATTCTGTTCAGCTGCTAGCTGGCCTAAAGAGTTGCTTTCTGCTTTACCCAGTTCCAAAATACAGTTATACACTCAATTTTTTTTTCAGATACTGCCAATAATTAGCAATTTTTCATTTTTTTTTAAAAAAGCTCATTTTGGCTAAAAAGTTGCTTGTAGCTTTTTAAAAATAATGCTTTATTTGCGAGGTTTTGTTTATACTTAAAAAAAGAGAAAATTGAGGGGATAGACTGACAATACTATCTTAATGTTATACATAAGAACACCAGATCGAGAACATTAAAGGGACTAGCCCAGGGTAGGACAACTACAAAACCACAAAATACCCAGAAAATTGTTACAAATTTCCCCTCTGGTTTTTCTTATAAGATAATCCTGTGCCATCTCTCGTTTACCTTTTCACCTTCTGTCTTTTGAGTGGTTTAAATTTATTTTTTCATCTTAATATTTTAAACATTTTATAGTGCCCTGATTAAGTAAGATCACCATGATCTACAAAACAATATAACTCTGTGTTTTGTGTGTATTAAAAACTAGTATAACATGATAGATGAGATAAATAAATGCTGACATTTCAGGTATTATGTGTGAGGATGTTTTTATGTCACACTTAGAGAGTTATGTGTTAAATGGGTGATTGTAATACTCGGTGCCTTGATTTTGAGTGTGTTTAAGAAATGATGAAACCTCTCTATGGTACAGAAGCACTAAGTGGAATTTACTTTCATATGTTATAATCCAATGTGTTATCCAAGTTCAGTGTGATTCAGATGGCTGTATGATGTAATTATTTGTCAAGTGAATGAATAGAGAATAGCTCTTTAAAACAGTTAACAGAAAATTACAGAGTAATGTCTAGAAAGTCTTTTTAAAACACTGGCCACATTTGAATTATCAGGTGACAGCTATGTCCTTTAATGATGCAATATACTTAGGAACGTTAGTGTCTTCTCATTTTTAGAGAAGAAGCAATAGACAGAGTTTAGGTTAATGGGACTTAGAAGATTCACCCAACCTAGTAGGCAAATGGAGGTTCTAAGTGTACAGGGCGGCATCCCTACTAGAGGAGATCTGAAAGATGACACTTCTTCAGATTTAATGTAGGATTAATGTGCAATTAGAGGCAATAAGTGCATCTGTCTAGTTGTTTTAAAATTACTCTTGTGGTTACATATGTGAGGAGATAAGTATTAAATAATAGTGTGCTTTAAATTTAAGCAATCATATGGGTTCAAAGCAATAAATCAGCAGCCTACACTCTTGCTTTATTCAGAATAAAATGCCAAACTACGGTCAAAGTGCAGTAAATTTCTTTCTATATGGAGATGTTGATTTTTTTAAATCAATCTTTTATTTTGGAATAATTTTCTATTTACAGAAAACATGTGAAGATAATACAGAGAATTTCTGTATACCCATCACCCCTTTTTTTTCAAATCTTACATTACCATGATACATTTGTTAAAACTAAGAATCCATGTGAGCACATCACCCTGAATTAAACGTCAGAATTTATTTGGATTTCACTAGTTTTTCCACTAATGTGTCTCTGTTCTAGGTTCTAATCCAGGGCATCACATTTCATTTGGTTGTCGCTTCTCCTTCATCTCCTCCGGTCTGTGACAGTTTTTCAGTCTTTCTGTGTTTTTCATGACCTTGACAATTTTGGAGAGTACTGATCAGGTATTTATAGATTGTCCTATATGGAGATATTTTGATCTTTTAGACTAAATTCTGTATCTCAGCTGCTTTACATCCTTTTTGGAGCAAGTGATAGATATAATTCTTGAACAAACACAGTTAAGGACGTAAATGAAAATACCCTTGAACAACGTAGGTTTGAACTGCACAAGTCCACTTATATGTGGATTTTTTTCAGTAAGTATATTGGAAAATTTTTTGTAGATTTGTGGCAACTTAAAAAAACTTTTTATTTACTCTGGCTTACTTTGTTGCAAGAATACAGTATGTAATACACATAACATAAAAAGCATGTGTAAATTGACTGTTTATGTTATTGGTAAGCCTTCTGGTCAATAGTAGGGCACTAGTAGCTAAGCTTTTGGGGAATCATAGGTCATACATGGATTTTTGACTCCACAGGGGTTGGCATCCCTGACCTCCACATTGTTCAAGGGTCAATTGTATATATCCGTTATCAAGCTTACCAATGGCAGATTGTTTTCATTGAAACAGTAACAACAAAAAGATTAGTATCATTTAATAGTCTTGTATATTAATTGATAAGTCACTGTCTTAAGCTAGTAAGCATTTATTAAGTACCTCCTATATGTCCATGTTTAATGCACTGGGATTCAGCAAAGAGTAAGTTCATTCCCTTCCCTTGGTAGGGCTTATATTAGGGAGACAGACAATAAGTAAACAGACAAGAAAGAAAATAGTAAGTAATCATAGTGCTATAATATAAGGTGATATGACAGAAAATGATAGGAGAGGAATAATTCTTTCTGAGGAGGGGACATAAAAGAAGTGTCCAATTATTTGAAGATCTGGTGGGAGGAGCTTTCTGGTCAGTGGGAGAAGATAGTGTGAAAACTCCGAGTGGAATGAGGCATGTAAAGTCAGTGAAAGCAAGGATCTTATGTTATAGAACAGGGAAAAGAGTCTGGATTTTATTATTGGCATTATGGCAAGCCGTTAGTTTTCTTCTAAAAAGTCGCGCACTCTGACATTGGCTGTTGAGTGGAGGGTAAGAACAGAAGGGGGGCCTGACCAGTAAGAGGCTCGTGCATATTCTAGGCAAGAGGTAAGGGTAGAAATGGAGAGAAGTAGATGGGGCCATGTTTTGGAGATTTACTAATTCATTATACAACACGAGGAAAAGGAAGAAATAAAGAATGTCTTCTAGGTTCGTACTTTTGATTACTTAGTAAATTATAGCCTCGGTCAGAAGCCATACTACTAATTAGACTCCTTATTTTTGCACCTTTAAAACTATGGCAAAATACAGTTCTTAACTACAAAGAGCTTCTGTTCCTAGAGAAACAGCAGAGGTGAAGCATAGAGGTAGATGATGAAATACCTTTTAAACAGGGTGTGGAAAATATTGATTTCTAATGTTCTACTGGTGGTTATAAATGTCAAATGTTAACTTGGTTAGTACTCTTTCCTGTTGCTGGTTGACTAATCTGCTGAATCCGTGGCCTAATAGGGTAGTGCATCTGTAGAAAGGCTCTCACTGATCACCCAAACCATGAGCAGATTCAGGCGTCACACCTCTCAGTAGGAGAAGGCCGGGGGCCGGGGAGAATTAGGACAGAGGCGAACATGATGGTGGCAGGGTGGAGGGATATTGGTGCAAGTTTCCCATTCCACTGATTACTGTATTGCCATTAGAAAGCATTTGATATGTACATGCTGAAATTTAATGTAGTGGCATGCAGAAGATAATTCACACTTGTACATGCACACTTACAGGACTGCAGCTTACACTTCCTACAAATGTGAGTGTGTGCTTCCAGGAGGGAGGAGGTACTTTGAGATAATTACCTTAGATCACTAGTATTAACAAGTAGCTAACTGGCATTAACAATCTGAATTAGAACTTAACTTCCTTTCCCTTCAGAAAGTGTCTGATGTTTGGAGAAGCTGCATGGGGTGGGGAAAAAGAGTGTGAGTTTCAAAGTAGGGCAGACATGAGTTCTGCCATTTACTGGTCCCGTGACTGTGTCCAAGTTTCTAAATTTTAAGCTTTTTTATTTGATGAAGGGAATAATAATAGTTCCTACCTCTCAGGGCTTACATGAAATGTGCACATGATGGACTTACACTTGCACATTGTGTGTGTGAATGACTAAACAAATGCATAAATAAATAAAATAATCTTATGACCATCATTCCTGCTGTCATCACTGATTAGCCAGCCTTTTTAAAGTATTATCTGTTTTTATGTTCATTTTAAGCTGATAGAGATGTACATATGCTTAGTTTATCTGAACAAATGACCTTCTGCTGTTCTTATAACCCAGCAGCCTTTTGGGGTAAAGTAATTAAGGATGGAGACATTGTGGAGAAAGAAAATTACTTACTGAAAAGTCAGGGGTAGAGACAGAACATTTTAGTAAATTCAGATTTTAGTACAGTGTCTTCCCTTTCTCTAATCTTAAAAACCAAATACACATCTCAGCATTTTTTAGAAGTTGTCATAGTGAGTTAAAGGGGAAATGAGTTGAAAGGGGTTGACTATAGAGATTAGATATTACAGAAGAACTCAGTGAGAGACCTTTCTATCCGATGTAACACGTGGCCATACTTTTCTTTCAGTCCTATGACAGTGTCTTTTTCTTTCACCCGGCGTCTGGAGAGCGTAGGCTGGGCTTCTGGAAGGAGGAGGAGGACCTCGGTCCATTTGGGACTATGTGCTTACGGGAAATTAGGAGCCGCAAAGTCTGACTCTTCTAAGTCACTTCCACTTCCAGCTTCCCCTCCCCGCTTTCAACTGTTCTTCCTCATATGCAGCTATTAGGAAGTTACATATATAGTTTAGCCACACTCAGGGTTACTATGAAAGCAGTTTCTTTTTCTTTTCTTCTTATTGAAGAACAGATCACAGAATGGATTGTCTTTACATCCTGCTGTTTGCATGAGGATTCGTTTTGGTAAGAATCTAAAAGAAAAACCAACAACAGAAAGAAATACCTAAGTTTCTGAATTTTAATGACCATCCCCATCCCAGTCAGGATTGAAGGGCAAAAAGAAAGAACTAATTCCAATAATTTTTAAGTTGAAGTGAATTAGGTAATTAATTAAAAGGAAAACTCTTTATTTTCAGTTTATGTTTCTAGATCTTGGCTACAAAGAGGTTGTCATCTTTGTTTTAATTTGTTTCATTTGCTTTTGGGAAATTTCACAAAAGGTTATTAATTAGAAAAGTTCTACCAAGATATGTCTTACGTACTTATTTTTTTTAAAACTTAATCTTAGCACTAAGTGTTGCTTGCCAAAATAATAACCATGGCACT